CTGTTCCCGCTCTCTTCAGTAGCCAGAGCCACAGGGCCTGAGTCGCACTCTGACCTCGCGGCGTGGGAGCGGGCGGGCGGGCTCCGAGGCAGCCCCGGCACCCGCCGCCCCAGCTCGCTTCAGCCTCGCCGCAGTCCTGGGAGATGGCGTGATTTGGGTTTGATTATTATTCTTTATTGTGGTGAAATACACATAACACACAAACGACTGCTTTAACTATTCTTAAGTGTACGATTCAGTGGCATTCAGATCATGCACGGTGCCGTGTGGCCGCCACCACTGTCCTAGTCTGCTCTGGGCCGCAGCGAGACACCGCAGACCGGGGCGTCAACCTGCTTTCCCACAGCGCTGGCGGCTGGAAGTCTTCGATTGAGGTGCAGCAGGGCTGATTTTGGGTGAGGCCTCTCCTTCCAGCTTGCAGACGGCCCCAGCTCCTTGCTGTGTGCTCAGAGCTCTTTCTGCTAGAGGAAGGAGAGAGGAGGGAGGTGGGAGGGGGAGAACCTGGGGTCTCTTCCTGTTTCTACAAGGGCATCAGTCCTAGGGAATCGGGGCCCACTCTGATGGCCTCATTCAACCTTAGTTACTTCCTTGAAGGCCCCATCTCCAAACACGGCCCCTTGCCTTAGAGCTTTAACACACCACATGCCCCTGGTGGGAGGGAGAACACATCCAGCCCGTAGCGCCACTGCCTAGCTCCAGAACTTTTTCATCTCCCCAAACAGAAATCCTTTAGGCAGTCATTTCCCATTCCTCTCTCTCCCCAGCCCCCTTCCCAACCTCTAGTCTGCTTTCTGTCCCTATGGGTATGCCTTTTCTCCACATGTAAGTGTGGTCGTACAGCATGTGGCCTTGTGTGTCTGACATCTTTCACTGAGCATCCTGTTTTCAAGGCTCACCCCTGCTTAGAGCTATTTTTTAAACCTATTTTACAGACAGTCATGGAGGCCCAGAACACGGGGAGCTTGCTGGCTGGGAGAGCTGCTGGTGCAGGCCGCGTTGGCAGCTGGGTGGGGCCTAGGCCGGGCTGTCCCTGGCCGGCTCCAGTGTGAGCCCCAGGGCCTGGACCAGTCGGCACACGCTGGAGAGCGAGCGAGCAAGTGACCTCCCTTCTTAGGACACATTCCTCCAAACTGGGCGGAAACTGCCGCCTCACCAACAGGCCTCCTGGGGTAGGGTGGCGAGGGTCCCAATTGCTCTGTCATCTGCAGAGGGCTGCGGCATGAACTCTACTGGGGCTCAGCACCGGCGCCCAGGCCTCCTCGCGCCTGTGTCACGTTGCCATCTGGTGGCCAGAAGGAAGCCTGGCAGGAAGCGGCCCGTGGGGCGCCCTGTCCTCCCTTCATAAGGACCACAGGCGGGAGGGAAGTGCCCGGGACGTCGCACAGGGCTCAGTGTGGGTGTCGACGCACACTTTTTGAGAAGCAAAGATGTTTGTGACAATTTTCTACGTGGAAAGACAGATTCCACAACAGTATGTATAGTATGAGCCACTTAAAAAATGTTCCAGTGTCTGAACGTATTTGTGCCGGGTGTAGAGGAAAAAGGCCGGAAGGACCTGGGCCACGGGGCCCAGCACGCAGGCGCTGTGGGACTGAGCGAGGGAGGCGTGGGCGGCCGGTGCTGTCGGCAGCCCCGCAGCCGTCTCCAGGGATAAAGTTGTTTTTCCCTTTGCTTATTCGTATCTTTTGATAAGAAAAAAAGAAGTTAAAATAAAGGGGAAGGTATGTGAGACACTCCAGGAGAAGGATGCTATGAGTTTCATGAATCATCACAGCAGCAGGTTGTTCTCTCAAAACCCATCACCCTGCGTTCCATCGCACGCTGGGTCTGATCCTGGCTTTGGGCTTTGCCACCAAGTCACCCGGGGTGTTGGGGCCCAACTCTGCCACTGCTGGGCTGGGTGGTGTTTAGTAGGTTCCTTGATCTCTCAGGGAGTCACTGTCCCCATCTGTACAGGCAGGCGGTCATAGGATCTGGGCTCGTAGGAAGTTTAAAAGAGTAGGCACAGGAGCACTTGCCACTGTGGCTGGCACCCCATAGACACCATGTCTTTGCTCTTGTCATTCCTGGGCAAGTCACCTCTCGTCTGAGGGCGTCTGCACAGTGACGGATTCGGACTAGATCAGATCCTTCAAGTTCTGTCCTTGTGCCCTTGCCTCAGAATCATCAGAAAACTCGAGAAATGCAGATTCCTAGGCCTTGGCCCTGGCCTTCGGAATCAGCACCTCCAAACATCTGCACTGTGAACGCGCCAGCTGAGCTCGCAGCAAGGCGGAACCCACAAAAACGGGAAATGATCTGTAAGTTTCTTTTCTGCTCCGACATTCTAGATGCTGGAGTTTCTGACGGCCTGCCAGCCTCTCAGCCTGTCCCTCCGACTTGGCAACGGAAGCCAGTTCTTGACCCTGGAAGGTTCTACAGAAACCTAGTCATAGGCTTTTCTCAGAGAATCCTAGTGCGCTAAAATGGAATACCGCAGCCATTGCAGTCACTGAAGATGAGTGAGAGGGGTGTTTGCCATGTGGTCAGTTAGTGACGGAGCCAAAAACACAATCCTGGCGTCCTGAATCTGGGATCTGTGTGCGCATGCACACACAGTCTAATTCTCGCTGCGATGCTGAGCTGTATGGCACAAGCAAGGCCTGGTCCACCGTGGGAGAATTGGCTGTCTGAGTACCATTCATGCGCGTCCAAGCCGCCTCACCCTTCTGAGTTCTTCCTTGTTTAAGGTAAGGCTTTGGGGGCAGACTGACAAGGAGAGAAAAGGAAGAAACAGGAAATAAGAACGAAAAAAGCTTGGGTTTTACTGTTTTCCCCTAAAATTTTATTCTATCATACAAGAACAAGTTATTGTCCTCATCAAGCAGATTTATCAAAAATAGTTACCTCAGCCAGCTCAAGTCATGCTCCTTAAGCCTTGGCAAACCCAACACCTGGCTTATGGGAGGTCCCCAGGAGTTTCCTGACGGGAGTGAGACAGCTCTTCAGGTCTGCGGTCTGAGTGACTGGGAGGCCGGGCTTGCGGTTTACGGAGGTGGCCAAGAGTAGTAGGAGGAGAGTTGGGCGGCGAGGAGCTTGATCTTAGAGCTCTTTTCTGTGATGGCTGTTGGACGGTGAGGCAAGGGCAGGCCACTGAAACAGGGTTCTGGAGTTCCCGGGACGACAGACACATGTTTGGGAGTCATGGGGTTATTAGACATGAGATGGCCTGGCAAGTGAGCAAGGCCAGAGAGGATGCCCAGAGCCTGTGCTGAGGGCACCCCAACTTCAGAATGTGGGCTGTGGGGGACAGTGTGAGACTAAACAGCCAGTGAGTGAGGGAGAAACTTAGAGGAAACCATCTTCTTGGCTCTTGTTTCAAGATGGAAAGAGGGAGCCCTTCACTGCTGAAGTGTCAAACCTTGCCTAAGAGTCGACTTCGATGGGAACTAAGAATAAATCGCTGGATTTGGCAATGGAGAGGTCATTGGTGACCTGGGCAGAAAGAATTCTAGTGCAGTAATGGGACAAAAGTCAGATGGCCAGGGTTCAATAGAAAAGAAAATGAGGGCTCAATCTAGGAGGCCCGATATTTTGACTAAAAGGTGTTTCAAAACATTCCTTAGATGAAATAGGTAGCGGGTCACACAGTGGCAAGAAGTCCTGCTGGACAAAGCCGGCCAGGCTAGGAAGCTGAGGTGCAGCAGGCTGCCGTGTCATGGGGTGCAGAGTCCACAGGCGCAGATGCAGAGAGGCGGCAGGGGACGGGGGTGTGAGGAATGGGCTCCTTCCTGTTCGCTTCCACCTCCTGGGAGAAGTAGGGAGCAAGACCACGAGTGCAAGGGTGGGGTGAGCTGGGGAGGCTTGAGACAGGTGATCGTGTGACACAGCCATCCAGGATGACACTCAGTGTCCATCAAGAGGAAGCACTCAGATATAGGACAAGGGCTCAGGAGAGTCACTGGGGAAATCAGAGAATGGCTTCCTCACCAGCCTGGCTCAGCCAGCATGTGCAGGCAGAGGGCAGAGCTGGGTTCCCCAGGAGGGTTTGGGAACCATGGCCAGCATGATGGCACCCAGGGCACGACCTCAGTATCCACAGCGACAGCGGGCTCAAGGGGCTGTAGGAGCTGAGTGCCGAGGAAGCTGCCAGGGTCAGGTGGGGGAGGAGCTGGAAGAGGCAGCAAGAAGAATAGGGAGGTCGAGGACAGGGCGACTCTTAGGCTCCAAGTTAACCCCTCGCGGGCACACTCCACACAAGGGTCATTAACTACACGCTTCCTGTGGGTTGCTAACCCATGTGAAGCTAAAGTCCTTCCACGTGTATTACGGGGATAACAGATGCTTGCCGCACCAGCCTGGTGGGGCCAGGAAGCAGTTGATGGCTGGAAACCAGGAAGTGCACCTGAATTGGACTTTAGGGCTGACACCCTCCAAAATCTTCACCTACTCACTAGCTTCTCTCATTGGTTATACACATTTCTGAGTTGGAGCCACTAATGAGCACATTCAAGGGTGCTTTTAAACACTCCAGTCCTTTGTGCAAGCAGTGCTGTAGGCAAGATCTATGTCAGCCACACAGGCAGCGGCATCTTCACACTGCTGACCTGACCCTGACATTCTAGCGGCAGTGCCACGCAGGCCTCGTTCTCTCACAGAGGCTGTCCAGTCTGTTGGGAAGAGACACATGTTCAGGAAGCTGTGCCAAGGGCCAGAGCCTGGGAAGGTATTTTCAGGTGGATGATCAGATCATGGAGCCTTAGAAAAATGCTGAAAGATATTCATCTCATACTGCAGAAAAGAAAACGGAGAGAAGACCTCGAGAGGCTGAGTGGCTCTCCCGCGACCTGGCCTGTACGCAGCAGCCAGGACCCGGCCTGCTCGGGCTGCTCTCGAGCGCACGCACCAGGAGCGCAGAACAACTGCACACTTACCCTCGCGGGACCCGTCCTCATTGGTATCTATTTTTATGCCTCTATCATCTTCAGGTTAATAAAAATGCTGGAGGAAACACACAATATTATATACAAAAGTAAGTTTCATTTATTCAAATTAAATTATAGTATGAGTTTCATATACAAATAAAATCTGTGTAAATATTTAAAAATATAAAATGCTACAAATATTAATCTTGTAAAAATGCAAAAATATTTGTATTACTATACATATATAATTCCTTTAATATGACCAAAATATACAGTAGTTGACACAAAGTATCAGACTCTCGTGCTAGCTAAAGTGAATGAGACAGTCTTTCTAAGCCTTTGGCTTCTGCGCTGCAAGCCCCCACCCTGGCACCTGCTCGGTGGTGAGCAGCAGGCCTTTCGTCCCAAACCTGAGCTCCAGGTGCTTCAAATTATCAGCCACCTTCAGAAGGGAAATTATCTAAATATTCTCTGGCTAGTGAGAAGGGACCAGTCATAGGGAAAATGGTTCTCTCTTGAAGCCGGAGACCAGTCCGCCAAACTGAGAAAAAGACTGTAACGCTGACAGACGCTGGCGTAGACATCACTGGTCCAACTCATTTTCATTCTGCAGCGTCTTCATTGCTAGCCCCCAGAGAGTCATGCTGGAGAAAAACTGTCCCTCTGAGTTCCTGTAAGCTGTGGAAGACGCACGACTGCCCAGGGGGTCGCTGCAGTGGTTGTCCAAGGCAGCCAGAGATGAGCGAACCATGGACATGCCATCAGCCTGCAGCGGCCCGTTGCCGGCTGAGGTGTCCACGTGTGAGTAAGCGAACGCCTGGTGCTGTGTCTGCTGCATCTGGGGCTTGGCCAGTTTAACAGGACCCAAGCCGAGTTTCTCCTGGTCACTAACTGCATGAGGTTCAATCATGGACTGTAACTTACAATAGGAGCTGGAAGAGTGGCTATCAAATTCTGTTATGGAATTTTCCACTGGGTTGATGGGGACTTTAACTGACACTGGCATCAACGTCACGGACGTGTCTTGGGAAAAAGAGTCTGAGCTCTGAGATCTCTCGAGATTGGAGGTCTCCATGGCTTGGCTGAACTCATCCAGCTCGTCTGGGCTGGCGCCGGTGGCTTTGCAGTGCATCTTCTTGTGCCGCCGCAGCACGGCGGAGCGGGTGAAGCACTTGTCACAGACCTCACACGTGTATGGCTTTTCCCCAGTGTGGGTGCGGACGTGCCTGCGGAGGTCACCTGATCCCCCAAAACATTTTCCTGGAAAAAGAAAAAAGGATGTTTTAAGCAGTGGCCATTCTGAGGGATTTCCTCTTCTCCCTCCTAAGATACTGAGATGCTCTGATTTAAGGAGAGCTAGTAGTCTGACGGCACCTGCTCACTCTGGAAGACTTTCCATTCCTGTGGGGTGCGCTTCCCCAGCTGAGGGCGGCCTTCAGGTGTTGATGTCTCAGTGCGAGTCTTCTAGACTCTCACCATGTCTCCCCGCTCAGGGCACCACTCTGGGTAAGCCAGGCTGTCTGTTCCTGCCAGGTCGGCGTCGGGAAGCCACAGCTCTCATCAGTTTCATAAATCTAACACAGCCAATCTATGCTTTAGAAACGTCTTTTCCAAAGGTATTTATGCATTCAGCTTTTAACAAAATTGTATGCATACACCTCTGGCTTCTATTTCCTTTTTTCTGTGAATATGATAAAGGTAAGTGACCTAGCTCCACAATTAGAACAGGAAAGAGAAGAAGCGACAGCTTGAAACATAACCTTATAGATCATAGCATATATACAAAGGCCCACCCGAGAATAACTACATGACTTACGTGGATTGTACCTAGAACTTCTCAGTTATGTATATGTCCCTACCTTTGAATTCTCAGCTATCTAGCTCCAGTCAAGCAATAGATGGGCTATTTTTCTAAAAGCCTTTGAACAATCAAATTAGACATGAGTATGCAAGCATTAAACTTTGGGCCCTTTTTCCATATTAAAAAACACAGCAACAGCACACCACAGTAACCTTGGCCTCTGCATTTTCATGTCTACATTTTGCCCACAATGTCAGGCTTGGTAATCTTCACTTAACACTATTGTGACAGCATTTTTACAATTTGCTTTGTTGTCTTTATAATGCACCCTTTACTTAAATATGCTGTATCTTGGGGATTTGAACTTCATAACTGTTATTTTATATTGCTACACATTCCAGCTGCTTCCAACTATTTGCTATTGTATATGATGTATAACATAGCTCAACTAACATCTTCAGGCATGAAGTTTTTGTCTTTCTTTGCATTGCTTCTTTAGGATAAATTCTCAATGGCAGAATTACTGCAAGGCAGGACAACCATTTTTAGGGTCCTTAATACATATAAATTTTAGTCACAGTAGCAATCCCATGAGGAGAGAGGAGTATGGGAGGTGTCTCTTATCCCTTAAGTCGAGGGAGGAGCTTGGCTTGACTTGCAAGGAGGACAGAGTGCAGGGCCCCTGCCTCCTACAGGGTGGATCCAGCGGGACACAGGAGGGCCATGCTCCCCGCATGGGACAAGGGCACCCTGGACTGACCCAAATCAACCGGGAGAGAAAGTCTCGATGGAGTAAACTGCCACAAAACCCAGGGCTGGAGGGAAGAAAAGAGCCGGCAGGAAATGTATGGCTGGATCTTGGAAAGCGCAGTGAGATGCTGAGGGAAGAGAAGGGAAGGCTGTCTTGAGAATCACGAAATGCCGGAGAGAGCGAGCAGCTCTAAACACTGAGAAGCTCAGAATGCGTAGCCATCTTAAAATTGAGCCTGTCTACATACTCACGAAAATGAAAACACTTATCCATGTCAGCACTGCATGTGAATGCTCACAGCAGCTACAAAGGACCCATGTTGCACGAGCGCATTCACATGAAATGTCCAGAACAGGCAAGTCCAGACACAGAAAGTAGATTAGTGGTTGCCAGGGGCTGGCAGGTGGGATGGGGAGGGACTGCTAATGGGTGTGAGGTCTCTTTTTGTGGGTGATAAAAATGTTCTAAAATTAGATAGTGGTGAGAGTTACTCAGCTTTGTGAATATACCAAAAATCAGTGAACTGTTTACTTTAAATTGGTAAATTTTATGGTATGGGAATATTGTCTCAAAGCTGTTAAAGAAATTGAGCTTGTCACATAAAAACGCTCCTGCTCTATTTCCCGTCGGTGCCTCCGAAGCTGGTGCTGTCAGGGCGAGAAGCCACGGTCGGTGAGGTGGGGAGGGGAGAAGGCCCTGCGTGCTCCCTTTGCCATGGGAGTGTGGGTGGCAGCAAGACTGGGGCGGGGGTGGGGAGAAAACCTGACTTTAAATCAAGTTCACAGTTGTAATTCCTTGGAACTGACACTAAATTAGTGCTTGGAGACTATGTTTGTGATTTAAAGTGATGAAATTTTACTTCCTAACAGTAATCAGAACAATTATGGTGGAGCTGCCTAAATTTGTCTCCAGGAGATTTGTACACAATTTAAAAGGAGAGGCAAAAACAAAGTTGCCTTCTGGTCACATCCAGAAGTCCTGCCTGGTTGGAGATACCAACGACGGAATGAGCCACTCTGATCCGTGCCCTGCTCCGGCTTTTCACAGCTGCACTCGGAGCGTTTCCCATCTGTCCTGAACAGATCCCCACAGAAACCCCCTCTGCTCACGCCTGTGCTCACAGTCCAGTGCGCAGCACCGTGCACTTGCCACGGGCATGCCCGCCGCCCTCCTCGGCGGCCACGTGTGCGCGGATCCTGGCTCCGTCACTGCTACCATGGGTAACGGGTTACCTAACCCTGAGTGTCCATCTCCCTGTCTGTCTGTTCGGGCACGTGCCCTGAAGCCAAGGGCTGCCAGCTTGCTGCTCACCTTCCTTGATGCTCTCAATGAAGCGTCTGTGCCCGTGGAAGTGACCTTTGCTCTACAGACACGTGATCCCAAGAGACCCACCCGCTTGACCCCAATAAATGCTCCTAAAGCTCTGGTGGGCAGACTGTCCTGCAGCCCCACACTGCAATCTTTCATGTGGAGGCTGCTACCCATCCTGCTCGCCTGCCATCTGCCAACTGCCCACCCCTTTCCATCTGGACCATGAGCACCTGGTGCCTGGGGCTGTGTCAGAGTCGTCTTGTCTCTGGAGCATCTGGAGGGAGGCAGTGAATGCCTGACACACGGATGCAAGATTAGTTGAGAGGTAGTAAAGAAATAGCATTACTCTCATTTACCTAGGACAAAACGAGTGACTTATCCCAGACACTAAATCAGCCAATGAAGGAGTGGGGGCAATGCCCTCCCCACACCATGGGTGACCAGGTGACAGCCAGAAACTTACCACAGGCAGAACAGCTGTAAGGCCGCTCACCCGTGTGCCGGATTCTGTGTTTTACTAACTTCCTTTGCATATTAAAAGACTTTCCACATTCATCACAGGTGAAGACTTTATCAGCCGTGTGTGTCTTTTTGTGCTCCTTCAAATTACTGAAGTTACTAAACCCTAGAGAGACCAGAACAGGCGTTAGGCTGAAATACAGAGAACATTTTAATCAGAAATCTCCAAGAAAAAAAGAGGAAAACACTCACTATACCTCGACCACAGATGTCACACAAGTGTGGTTTTTCTCCTGAGTGAATGATAATGTGACGCTGGACATCGCCAGAGGCTGCAAACCTGGAATGTAATTTGAAAATTCAGTTAGGAGCCTTTGTGCATCACTGTGGGTCTTTATAACTGCGAGTCGCTGAGGGAGGAGACGGTCTAGTCCCAACATCGCTTCAGAGTGAAAGAAGCGGTCTGATTTCACTTGGAACGTGCATTAAAAACTCTTTCCCTTCTCCCTTTTTTAAGAAAAGTAAAAAATGATGCAAGTGTCTTGTTTTCAAAACATATTTTCTACCTGATTTCATTAAACTCTCTTCCTCAGTTTTATGCAGCACAAGACCAGACACTGTATGGGTTAGCATTACCTTAGGGGCTGTAAAGAGAGACAAGCGTGTCTCATCAGCTCAGAGGCAAGTGAGGCCCTTTGCCCTTGCAGTTCCGCCAGGGTGACTTAGGGCCTGTGGGGAGACTCCAGCTTGGTGGTGCCAGCCCAAGGAGGACCCTGGAGAGCCCAGAGTGGGTTCTGTCCTGGGCTGAGGGCAAGTGTAGCCCTCACTCTTTTCACTACAAGGTAAAGTGCAAATAGCAGCTCAGAGTTTCAAGGGCTGAGATGTATGGCCATAAAGGTTTTTAGACAATCCTCACACTCCTCTGACCTGAGTATCCCCAGAGAACAGGTTCTTCTCCTCCCTACTTGAGTCAAAACAGAAACTCATACATGTACGTCATACACTGAGAAACCAAGGGAACCAAGTGAAAAAAGGGAACTAGCATTCACTTAGCAGCTGCTGTATGCCAGGTGACAGGACAGATACTTAACAAACACCACCACTTAATTGTTCCACACCACCACCAGGCAGGCATTTTCACCCCCATTTTCCAGATGAGAAACCAAGTTCAGAGTTGGTCACTAACTTGACTTAGATAGCATTTCCAACCCAGGCCCTCAGATGTGGAGATCTATGTTCTTTCCTTTCCACCAAACTTGACAGTATGTTATGTTCTCAGGAAAGTGTGTAACACAGACCTGATTTTAAATACATGACTTATTTTTAAATGGAATTCAGAAGGCTCAGATTTGAAACATTGTGCGAAATAAGACATCCAGGGACCAACAGTGAAGCGACGCCATCTGAGGCAGCAAGAGGTCTATGCTACCAGGCATCTAAAACAGCAGTTGATGACACCTGGGCCCTCGACTCGGCTTTCAGTGTTCATGGGGCTATAGCAGAAAGGGAGACATGTTACGCTCTTTAGCTTTGACTTATTTATTTTTCGTTTTCTATCACCAGCAGAGAGAATTGTTCTCCTGAAACTGAATCTAGAGTCGCTTCTTCCTCTACTGTTCCTACAGCAGGTGCTGCAGACTATAGTAGAGGACTGTGCTTCTAATTGTCCCATGCCCATCTCCTCCTCTGAGACTCTTCAGTATGAACCTGCCAGAGGCAGAGACTGTATTGTTTATGTTCCCCTCACAGCACTTGGCATATAGCAGGTGTCTAATACATGGTGAATGAATGAATGATTACATGACTGAATATAAACACTATGTAACCAGGGTGCACACAGCTTCATGACTGGTGTAGTCTTTGTTGATGCCTGTTATTCCAGCACAATATCAGGTAACGGAGTTCCAGACAGCCAAGAGACACCCCTAGTGGTGGGAAGGAGTGTTGACATGCCAGCCTACTGCCCAGGACAGGAGCTCCTCGTTTACAGCACGCTGCAGAGAAGACTCAAAGGGCCACATATTTCTTTCCATCTAGAGAATCAGATTTTTATCTCCCAGTCTAACTCCTGCCCCCCATCAAGGCTTAGCTCCACCCTCCTGCAGTTGAAATCGTGGCACCTTCCACCACTTTCTCTGGTGAAGTCTAGTCACTCAGGCTGCAAGTCCCATTTCCCCTACCAGGCAGTCACTTCCTTGGGGGCATTAATCTAGTTTCGGAGACATTTTTGAAATGAATGAAATTTAGAATAATTTTGTTTCATGTAAAACCTCATTTCCTTCCTAAGACCCCTGTCCTAGATTTTCTTTCTCCTAATTAACTTTTCTTTTTATTATTCTCTTGTGTGTCACACGAAAAGCCAGAGGGTTTGAGTTTACCTGTGTTCCACAGTGGCAGAGTGAGCCCATGTGTGGCTCACACACAAGCCACAGCTGCAGGGAACACTGACTGCCACAGACACTCAGACTACGAGTGGGCCCTGACATACAGAAGGACAAGCTCAGCACTGACCTTTTCCCACAGATTTCGCAGATGTATGGTTTTTCACCAGAATGCCGACGTAAGTGAGTCTGCAAGTTACCTGCCTGCAAAAAGAGAAAAGAAAAAACACACCAATAACGAAAGGGTTTTTTTAAGTTATATAAATTCAAAAGGAAAACTGACAAATTTAGCCAGGTTCCAATCCAACCTCCAAATGAAGACTAGATACACACAACTGAAAAGCAGCCACATGTAAGGAGATCAAATAAAGGCAAATTCTAACTCTGCCCAGCGAGTTGCTGAACAGGACCCTGCTGTGTCCCGGCTCAAGTGTGCACTCTGTGCTGCTCCCCTCTTAGATGGGACCCCTCGGAAGCTGCTTTGGTGGTCTCTAGCCTGTATTTTAAACAGACCGTTACGTATTTTATTTGGACCATCTATATACAACATCTGGAAAAAAAAAAAGCACTTGTACATGATTATTTCAGTATCGTTTCTTTCCAAAAAAACAAGCTTTTGTTCATAAAGAAGGGAAGACACTTCCAAAACTATTTCCTTTGGCAGTGCAGTTGGCTCTGCCCGACAGGCCTGTCATTTCACCTCTGTGCAAATGCAACCAGGAGACTCGCAGAAGCCATTGGGTGCAGGGCCTTTGTGTTCCTGATTTCTGAAACTAGCAGGGCTTTGTAAAGAATAACACTGAAACAGAGATCATGAAATAGAGTTCCAGGTACTAATCAACAGGCAACCAATATTAAATTAACTAAAGTACAGTAGAATTAAAACTGCAAATGCCTCAGATGTTAAAAAAGCTACCTGTGAATGTTTTAAATTATGATTTGGAAATAAAATCTTCTATTGCAGTAATTTAATAGTCTCAACCTGTCATTTCCTACATTTAATTTTTTATAGTGTTTTGTTGCAAAAAAAAGGAAAACAACACAAATTAAACTAATATACTCAGAGGTAATAATGTGTAGGCATATGCACAAGGTAAGCCAAAACCGAGAATGAACACTATTCAACTAACATAACAAATTTGGTTTTTAAATATGCAAACTATATTTTAAATAAAATGTAAAGATAGTTCATGGTTATAGGTTTGAAGGTGAGTTTGATGTCTACTTGAAACTCACAAGTATAAAAAATGTTGCCTGTGGATTCTGTAACACAAAAGATTCATCATGTCTGTCAGACTCTGGGAAACAGAACTAGATATTACATTTAAGAATATGATAAATATGGCTTAGAAAAACTCCAGTTTATTTTCAATAACCAAAGAAGAAGAATTTGGTGAAACTTTGGAAAATGTCCAGATTTTAATAGAATGACTATTAATAACAATAAAACAACAAACTCAATAATACATATTTTTTCAAATTCCAATTAGGCCTTTACATGCATTATTAAATTACCATTGGTAGTTGGTATTACCTTTTCTTGATGAAAAATTGAGATTCAGATAAATAAAGTAGTTCCTCAGTTACAAGGTTGGGTCAGAAACTAATACTGGTTTCTGTGAGTTTACTTGTGGGGAAAACCTGAGGATGTGCAACTTTCTATGAATAAACTAGCATGTTCTGAATATTCAATATGACAGGGTAACTTTACCACTCAGGAAACAGCTTGCTGGAGAGTTAAGATAACGCACCACTGTTTTAAATCAGTCACTCCCAAATTCCAGAAAAGCTGATCAGTCATATAATAATCTGAATAGCACTATCTGTTCAACTGTTAAATTAGATCTCTATTGTTTTAAGTTATTTTATAAACTATTTATTACAACTGAAATGCATTCTGAGTCAGTTCTTAGCAATGCTGCATTTTTTGTGATCATGGTATCTCCCCTGCCAGATAAGTATATGAATGCTGCATTTTTCTTTTAAAAATGGCATAACAATTACTTGTTTTCAAAGCAAATATAATCAAATGGTCTTTCACTTAACATTATAATGAGTGGTAGTAAAAGACTTTAAAATGTTTCTTTACCTATTTCATACTGGAAATATATAATGAAAATAATTTTTCCCCCAGATAAAGGACTGCATACTAGTCTGATAAATAGTATAAAAGTAGATTAAATAAAACTAATGGAATGATTCAGATAAAAATCCAATAATACATTTAGATAATTTATATCAGATTAACAGCAAACTTGGGCCCAGATTATTAGATCTTTGGTCAGTGTTTTTATTTTTGGTAAACTTTTGATACACTCTAGTACTAATTATATCCTAAGCACACAGACCACTTCTTAGAAATCATCTAAATATATATATATATAGTTGCATCCGTAAGAACTTTAGCAAGTGATAATTATGATACAATAGCTACTACTTGTTAAAAGCTTACTATATGAATGAAGCTCTTTGCTAAGTGGTTGCAAAGAGTATTTAACTTTATCATCACAATGTCTTATACAACAGTTTTATTTACATTTTACAGAGAAGTCAACAGAGGCTCTGGGATTGGGAGGTAACTGGCCTCAGGTCATAAAACTGGGATTGAACACACTTATTCAGGTTTGTCTGGTGACTCCAAAGTTTGTATTGTTAAACCTACACTGAAGATATTAGCAATAAAGAAATTTATCTTCTTTCCAAGTTAATACCATTTTAAATTAAAATGGCGTTATTAGAATTTTTAACAGAAAAACTCTGCTGCAGAGAAGAATTAACATCTGAGTTGAATTACTTTAATAATAAACTTCTGATACTAACTTGAACATCATATTTAAACATGAACAAAACCAGCACCTACCCCTATCATGAGCACTCTTAATGGCAGCTGAGTGTTTATACATAAAAAAGTAAGGGGCCGGGCGCTGTGGCTCACGCCTGTAATCCTAGCTCTTGGGAGGCCGAGGCGGGCGGATTGCTCAAGGTCAGGAGTTCAAAACCAGCCTGAGCAAGAGCGAGACCCCGTCTCTACTATAAATAGAAAGAAATTAATTGGCCAACTGACATATATATAAAAAATTAGCCGGGCATGGTGGCGCATGCCTGTAGTCCCAGCTACTCGGGAGGCTGAGGCAGAAGGATCACTCAAGCCCAGGAGTTTGAGGTTGCTGTGAGCTAGGCTGACGCCACGGCACTCACTCTAGCCTGGACAACAAAGTGAGACTCTGTCGCAAAAAAAAAAAAAAAAAAAAAAAAGTAAGGGAATCCTAAAACTTTAGAGATAAAAGGGATTTCAGATCTTAAGTCATCTAGCTCAGGAATGTCAAGACTTTAGAATTTTGCAAGGTAGTAAAATTAAAAAAAAAAAAATCTAAGGATAAACATAGAGATATGACCTAACCAATGATCATTATATTGATAAAATAAAATTTAACACCAAACGTGTGAAAAATATCACCTCAGAGATGAAAATTTAATAGCTTAGGGAAAGCTCATTAAAGTGTCCTTATTTTTGCCTTTTCACCACACATCGGTGACACTGTCACCTCTGGCGTAAAGTCCACACCAGCAACCTGGGAATGCCGCTTTGGTGACGCCTCCTACGTGAGGCACTGGCATCCCCAGGCGTGGGCAGACACCCTGCCACGGCGCTGCTGGGAGAACTCTGCCTCTCAAAGCCCATCTCTGTACCAGCTGCCCAGTGTTTCTATTTCTGCCTCCTTGAAGGGACAAAACAGCTCTGCTCCTTTCCCCAAAGACAGCTAACTATGCCGTGTTTTCTCAGGTGACAGGCACTCCAGACCCGTCGCTATCTTGGTTTCTCTGGGGATGTGCTCCACACAGTCCACGTCCCATGCCACCCAGGACACACAGCCCCCTGAGTGAGACTCAGTCACACTCTAAAGTACGGCATGACCCTTACTTGCGAGATCTGGACATACACAGTGTCTAGAGTTATGTTAATACATGCAGAGTCTGTTGTCACAATCAAAGACAATGCTAATGCTAGCTTTTTATGCTGATGTGCATACTGCTTGCTGACTCATTATGAATGCTGATACTAAATTATCAGTAAGTAGGATGAGAGAATAATTCTTACTCGTAAAGGTTTTCACGTGGGAGCATTCTAGGCCATTGTAACTGCAAACATTTATTCCAGTTCATCACAAGAAAAGAATGTTTGGCTTAAGGTGAAGGACAGGCTAGCAGGCATCATTACTAAGCACCCTTATGCAAACTGACTGCTCTCTGGCCCTGCAATGCCAGAGACTCCAGGCTTACCCAGTGCCTGCACTCACCTAAGCAATCATCTCTCAAGCATTTCATGTCCTTACGCCATGCCAAACACACCTTTCAGGTAGAAATGACCACTGTGTCTGCTTTAACCACATTGTTCCCATACATATTGTCACAGCAATTCTGACGTTTTCAATGTACTTGATCATTTACACATCTTTTTCTTCTTCTAAATAATAAACTATTCAAGGCCATATTCATTTTTGTCCCCCTTCTCAGCACATGCCAGAGCTCATGGACACTGTAGGGTTGTCATAAACACTTACTGAAGTTTTTAAAACAGTTCCTTGTTTACCAAAATTTAATAACTTCACTGTGAAAATATAGCAGCAATATAAACTCTGTGGTCATAAAAACCTAACAATAATATAGATACCAACATACAAAAAAAAAAAAGGAATTCTGTATCAAACAAAGCTACCCTTGGTAGGATCTAAGAGGGTAAGCGCAAGTCAAGGTCTAAAGCAGTGGTTCTCAACCTTGGCCACACAGCAAAATCACTGTATTTTAAAAAACAGCCATACTTGAGCCCCATGGCAAACCACGGAATCAGATTCTCTGTGGGCGGGCACCAGGCATCAGTGCTAGGAGAGGAGAATGGAGGTAGACTGCAGGATGCTTGAATGTCTGCTTTTACTTTACTTGGTTAGCAGTGGAGAGTCACAAAAGGGTTCTGAGCATGAAAATGACAGATCTTAAATTGTTAACAGATTTAAATGTACAAAGGGTTCCTATGTCTATTTTCTCATTTAATCTTCCAAATAAACCCATGAAGCAGTATTATCCCTATTTCAGGAATTAGAAAAATGGATCAGCCAGGCACAGGGGCTCATGCATGTATTCCTAGCACTTTGGGAGGCTGAGGTGGGAGGATTGCTTGAGGCTAGGAGTTTGAGACCAGCCTGAGCAAGAAAGAGACCCGTATCTACAACAAATAGAAAAATTAGCAGGGTGTGGTGGTGAGCGCCTATAGTCCTAGCTACTTGGGAGGCTGAGGCAGGAGGATCACTTAAACCTAGAAATTAGAGGTTGCAGTGAGCTATGATTGTGTCACTGCACTCCAGCCTGTCTCAAAAAAACAAAAACAAACAAAATCCCCAAAACCCCCCAACAAAAACGACCAAAAAATAAAAAATAAAAAAAAAGAAGAAAAGAATTAGAAAAATTAGGCCCAGAGAAGCTGTGATTGCTAATTATCAATGGTCATTAATCCAGGTCTTACACTTTTCCCACTATACCAAAGCAGCTAAGATGAAATGGGGGTAAAGGGGTGAGAGGGAAGGGAGGGGCCCCAGGAAGACTGACATACAAGGGTCGTGAGGAAGGAAGAGACAGGAGAAAGGTCATGGCAGCAGGGAATGATGATATCTCCTGGGTCCTTACTATGTGCCAGGCACTGTTTTAAGTGCTTTCTTTTATTAACCCACTTATTCCTCACATACTCTACTGGGGCAAGTCATCTTACTTATTCTTGTTTTACAGATAAGGAAACGGAAGGGCCAAGAGCTTAGGCCAAGGTCACAGAGTAGTAAGCCCTGAGAGGCAGGGTTCAACGCCAGAATGACTGGCTCCAGAGGCCAAGTTCTGAACCCCGGGGCCACACTGGAAGGAGGAAGCAGGCCCACGTGAGAATGCTGGCTGGAGGGCTAGGCAGTGGGCTCAGCTCACCAAATACTGAGCCTTTCCTGGCCACCAGGCATTCTCCTGGGCAGGAAGTGTGACATCACCCTGGCCCAGAGAAACCAATCGTCCTTCCATACCGATACTGTGACGACCATGACCAATAAGAAGGTCAGGACTTGGTGAATCCTGGCAGGCAGGAGTCAGAGTGGGAGAGTGAAGAGTAATTAAGGTGACAGCTGTGAGTGTATGGGAAAATGGAACTGACACCCGCCACAGATGAAGGGAGACTGAAGAGCTGGCTCTGGGGGAACGTGTGAAATGCTGGCGCCCGCTGCGCTTGCTGTTTCCAAACTCTGCAGGGCCTCCCTCCCAGCTTCTGATGTCACCTTCCCAGCCAGACAGCACTTGCACACACTGCTACTAAGGCGTCTAATGAGCCACATGTAAGATGGTTGTGCCCCTGACTGTGCTCTGCAGAACTGTGCCCTCATGCCCTGGGAGCAGCTTCCTTCTTATCTACCTCTGGAAGCCCAGGGCCCTGCACACGGCAATGAACAGTTACCTCCTGTTTCAGAGAAAAGTAGGTTCCCACGAGCCATTTGATTACATGCAACATTTTCTGTGAAACGTTAAGTTTCTAGGTTTCTTTGTGTTTAGCCCCTAGCACAGTGCCGGCCCATGGGAGGATATGATAGACGTTTGCTGACAAGAGAATTAATATGTGTCCAAAAGATCTTAAGGGAGGTCAGCTAAAAGGTAGCAGTAAAACCAGGGAGTAAAATTTGTTCGGCCTTTTTTCCAATGTCTAAAATCTACAGTCTCAACAAGAATAAGGCTACTGGTCTTGGCCCAGCCCAGCATCACCTGTGCCTCCAGGTAAACCACGCCCAGAATGCTTTACTGTGAACTGCATTCACAAACGCGGAAGAAGACGCATTCTAGGACTGGACCCATCCTTGGCGAGGAAATGCAAAAGGTATTATAAGGACTCACACACATAAAAAAATGCTATTTTTCCCCAATGAACTAGAAATTTGTTTTCTTGAAAGTGATTTTCTCCAGATTTAGTCTGAAGTCTTCAAGTTACAGATATTATCAGAAGCTTCTCTCACAAGTACAAAAGTATGTCTGATTTGCAATAAAAATAAACACTGGATTTCAGGTTTCCAATTATTAACAATAAATAAGAGTATTCCCACCTGAGAGAAATGTTTCCCACAAATGTTACATTCAAAAGGTTTCTCACCTAAAACAAAACAAAACAACAATTTGAAAAATCATTACTAATATTTGCACAATTTTTTGTTTAAGAAATCTAAACGATCTCCTGTGTCCTACCTTTCAAAACAGCACTGCATTCTTTATCCTAGCAGTATGAAAATGGAGAGTCTCTACTTCCTTATAGTTCCCCTAGTTACCCCTCACCCTTAGATGCTATGCAGAGAAGATAAAAGCGAAATCTTTATTTTCCTCTAAAAAATTAAATTGTTCTCAAATATAAACCTATGTTAAAATCAAATATATTTATTTGCATCTAAAGCAGACCTAGGTTTTGGACAGTCCTTTCCTTCAGTTGAAAACCAAATGTGAGTTTTCTTGTTGAACAGCATAAACTTTGTTCTCCTGTTCTTCAGCCTGACTCTACCACTTATTTCTAACCGAGAGTGGGCCATGCATTCATATCACACAAGGTGTGAACATGTGAGAGTGTTACACAGAGTAGGACCTCCTGAAACACACGTGACAGGGAAGAGCTCCTGTCTACTACCTTCCTGTGTGAGTTTAAACAAGCATCCAGGAGACAATGAGACTTCATCATGGGAGATGTGAGCCTCTGCTGATTTCTTAGTCACCTCTGATTTCAGAAACTAATTGCATTTGGGCATAGAATAGATTGTAGATTTTTTTTACATAAAATAGATTTACTACAAAGAAACAACAGCTGTTCTGAATGTAGTCTATAGAAGATTATTTTTAAAAATACACTTCAAGTATAACCTATATAACCCTAATAGACTTTGAACACTAAGAACCTCCCATATTCCCCATCAAATTAAATGGTTTCAGTAAGATCCTCTTTAAAAAATGATAATGTTTTCCCTTCCCACTGGGGCTTGCTACCTTGAAGAAACCAGCTTGCTTGCTTTCTGGGCTCATGCTAGGATATTTTTATCCTGAAAATGTCTAATGGCTTCCTTGACCCTGAATAAGTATAATCATATTACTTCTATATTTTGGGACTGCATTTATGTCTGAAATTATTGAGATAATAGATAATGATAAGTTAAAACCTCCATAAGAGAGATAAGAGTTTGAAAAGAGAGAGAGGTCACCAGTACTAAGATGACCAAGGTCAATGACCCTACTCTAGTGGGTCTCAGACGTTTTGGTCTCAGGACCCCTTCACATTCTTAAAATTGAGGCTCTAAAGAGCTTTTGTTTATGTGGGCTATACCTACTGACAGATGCCAAATCAGAAATGAAAAATGATTTTAAAACACATGAATATACTTCACAGGCTACCAGGGTGATGACATCATTACACATCATGTAGCCTCTGGCAGACTCACTGAATACTGATGAGAGTAGGAAAGGCAAGTAGCATCTTATACTATCTTGAAAAGTTTTGGCCTCATAGACTGCTGCAAGGCTTTCCCAGACCACACTTTGAGAACTATTGCCCTTCTTAGTAAAGCATGATACCCCAGTAAGCATCTCTGCCACATGACTGTATCTGTCATTCAAAGATGTTCTCTCAGAATAAACAATTTAATTTTTGTTTCCTTTAAACCTAAACAGGTAAGTTTCTTGAATAAAAAATTACAATATTCATTAGGCTATAGGAAATTCAGGGAAACAGAATGATTTAAATTAAGTTTTTTAAGGGCAAAACTGAGTTTGTGATACTGCCTTTATATGGAGTAATTTGAACTACAGTACTAACAGCACCCTATATTCAAATGCACAATTTATAAAAGACTTTCACAAATATTAATGAAGTCTCCCAACAATACAATGAAGTAGTAAAGACCTAAGTAAACTGGGAATCTAGAGTAATAACAGAAGGTCACATCAATAAACACAATTACACAACCACCTTAAAAGCAACTATTGTGGAAGCATCCTGCTGTATATTGCTTCTCATGCCTATAATTGTCATTAATTTGTAATGTGTTATTAAAGACATCACGTTTAATTATAGGAAGAAGAGTAATACATACATATTTTATGACATAATACGTATGTATTGTATAATACCTTAAAAAAACTTTTGGGAAAGAGGTGGAGGGATGAATTAAGATATAATAATAAAACTTTGAAAGTTCAATATTTAAATGGAAGAATTTTCATTTGAAACATCAAATGGTCAAAGCTGATTCTTATTAAAAAGTTTACCTCCTGCCTCATAAATCATACTTTTACAAATCAGATATTCAAATTACTTCTGAGAGAACTTTTAGAATTATTTAGTCCGAATTAACTAAATTTAGTCTGAATTAACCTACATTACACTTTTAAAAAAGAAGCTTAATCTAATTCTAAAAAGACAAATAAATATAGCTTATCTGTTTTAGAATTTGAAATTCTCATCAAAATAACTTACTATACCTCTTTAGAGATGGACAGTTTATCATACAAAAAAGTATGCCATCTTTTTAAAGTGGTTCTTTAAAACCATCTATAGAACTTTAAGTTAGATGCATCATCAAAAAGATAAAGTATCTAACATTCCTTGATTTTTGTTTAAAAACAGCAATGACTCCATCAAACAATAACAAAACTTCTTACAAAAACAAGGCCAGCCAGTGGTGTTTGAACAACTATATTTCCCTTTTGCCTGCAGGTACTGAATCAGTGTACCTGTATGAGACCGTTTGTGAAGCTCCAAATTGCTTGGGTGTTTAAAAGGTTTCCCACACAATTCACATGCATATTGTCTCTGTGACTGAAGTGTCTGGGACTGGTCTTCCAGTGCTGCAGGGTCCTCTGGTCTCTCCATTTCACTAATGCAATTAAAATCCTCGCAGCTTACGAGTTCTTCGCTTTCCTTTTCGGCAGTACATTGGCTGCTAGCTTTCTCTGTGGTATTTTCACCAGCAGATGCCGTCCTCTTTGTTAAGCCATCATCCAACTTGGGTTCTGATGTTTGTTCTGCTGATTTCTGTGACTTTAGGAAATTGAGTTTCTTCGGGTGAATAGCCTTTTTGAGCCTCATCTGTTTGGTAGGTTGTGGATACGTGGTGTCTGATTCAGGGTCTGGGGCAGAGTCACTCAAAGGCTGGGACAGGAAGTTGGAAGGCAAGTGCTCCGAAGACTCTAGGATGCACTGGGAATGGCTGGCAGCACAGGGCTGGCTTTCTACTGCACTGAGGTCTGTGGAGGAACTCAAAGTCAAAGGCTGCTCGACAACTCGCTCGTAACTGGGACAAGAAGTGTCCTTATAGTACTGCTTACTGTAAAAGTTTCTGAGTTTGTAATAGTAATTTGGCTGTTTGAAAGGCAGTTCTGCACAGCTGCCATCTAAAGTGTCAGGGGCTTGTTTTGCTATTTCACTTGTGGAATGATGAAGATTAACTGATGGTGGAACATGAGAATTTGATTCATCTAAAACTTTATTATGCTGTACATCTGCAGAACACTCTTGCAGTAAATGAGAAGGGTAGTTTTCATTGACAACACAAGTAGCATCAGGGGTGAGAGTGCTTTGTAGGGAGAATGTACTATTACAAGGCATGCCAGGAGGCTGTTCTACAGTAGCCGATTTTAAAAACGTGTGGCACAGATCGAGGACATTTTGGACCTGCAAACACTGTGCTGTGTCCAGCATCACTTGTACATTGTCCTGGTTGAGATCTAAACGAGACGTGTACATAAAGTCCAGGATCTGCCCTATGCCACTGACATTCTTAATGTCCAAGTGAAAAACATCATTCTTCTGGCTTGAAGAATTCTGAAAGAGGCTCCTGATAAGAGAAAGGATATCTGTTTACAGTGTTAACAATTCATACATTCTCCTAACTTTTTCTTATAAATAACATTCATATATTAATATTAAAAAATACTATCCTTCTATGAATGCCAAGACTTTTAACATAAGTATGTTTTAATCCTTTAAAACAGTTTGGTGACATCTGAGGGATGGTCATGATGGAGACTCAGACTTGTGGGGGAAGGGGGGGAAATGGGCATTTATTGAAACCTTAAAATCTGTACCCCCATAATATGCCGAAATAAAAAACAAACAAACAAACAAACAAAAAAACAGTTTGGTGAGCTGTCCAATTAAGCAATTCAGATGAATTAAATCAGTGTGTTGAGTATTCGACCTTCAAAATAGGTCTCAAGGTAAATTTTTAAAATATACTCATTAAATTTACAAATTAAAAAAGTCACATGTAGTAATGTAGCTGATAAAGTCAAATCAAAAAGATATGAAGATAATTCCCAATATGATTGATCTACTTAACATGTATAAGATTACTTTAAATACTTTTTCAAATTATCCTTATGTATTACATACTAACAGAGTATAGACACTAAAGGATACACATTTTTCAATATTTCATATTTAGTTTGACAAATGATATATTTTGGGCCGTAAGCCGTATACACAAATATTTTCATATCTAATGCCTTAAAAACTTCTAAAAATAAACATAATGATAATAAATCAACTCTCAGTATACATCCACTTTATAACCCAATGGTCCATAAACCAACAGTGAGAAAAACCCTAAGAGCTAATAAAGAAAACAAGGCACCATAAAGTTCAGGCACTTTATGCTGGGTACAAGTCAAAAATGAATTAATATGGTATATAAAATAATAAAGTGAGTTAGGCAAATTGTCTCACAAGCTTGTTGAAGACATTTTGTCAAATACAGTCACCTGTTTCTCCCAAACAGCCTTCAATTCTGTTCTTATTTAAGCTTAACAGCCAATGTGTCACAATAAGGAAACCTAATTGTACTGGAAGACAGAAGAAACAGGCAGTCACAATGCCCAGAGTTTGGGACCACTTTGCATAGGGACAAAGCTTGCTCCCGAACGCAATGAGCTGACTCATTGTAGTATGTAATACATTACATACAATAACTGAGACTTAATTTGATGATTCAGGACTATCAAGGAAAGAGTAAATCATGTTCCATATATTGTTTACCAGAGTGGTAAGATAGTATGCATCTTGGAAACAAAAAGTACTTAAAAAAAAAGACTGTGGTATTTAAAGAGAGATAAAAGAGATAAATCTGTTAACCAGAGAATTAACTTACACAGAATACCTAAATCTAATAATGTTAAATAAGTTGAAATACAACTGCTTGGTATTATCCAGTATTTATAAATAAATCTTTCATATAAGCCAAAATTATAAGGTTTCTTAGAATATTCAAATGGAAACAAAAACTAAAACTACTTTAACTAAAAGAAAAAAAAAAAACACAACATATAGAATGCTCTCCTCTGTCTGATTCTTTATCACAGAAAAATTCTTGCCAGAAACATAATCCTTAAGATATTTTACTACAAACACACATCACTGCACTTGGCTAATTTTTTTTTTTTTTTTTGTAGAGATAGTGTCTAGCTATGATGCTCAGGCTGGTCTTGAACTTCCAGCCTTAAGCAATCCTCCTACCTTGGCCTCCCAAAGTGCTAGGATTACAGGCATGAGCCACCGTACCCGGCCACAATCATTTTATCTTAAAAGGATGAGAAATATATATAGAAGACTGACATTAACTAATTACAATTATTAAAATAAAAGACAAAGTGCCAAAATACTTTCAATCATCCCAAATTCATTTTAGTTAAGAGCCTCTTTTCCTTTCAGGCTACTCTCAACACAAAAGCAAAAATAAAAAATTTTTAAAAGTTCACAAAATCCAATGTGCTATAAATGATAAAGATAGTGAAGTCCAAGGAAAAAACAAAACGTGGTCAAAATACTTTCATACCAGATGATCTTTTCCCCCTACAGTTAGAAGAATGAAGTCTAAAATACATACCTAAAATACTGGCTGAAAGCTGCTAGAACATTTTTATGTGCTTTAAAGCAGACTCCTTTCACCACCAACATACAGTCACAAAGTAGGCCCTGAATACGCTGCTCGTGCAGTTGCTGAAGGAGGTGGCAGCTGTGGGTGGCAACGGGGTCCATGCTAAACCAGTCAAGAGGCCTACAGCAAAGAATGCAGATAGAACATATTCTTAATGACATCGAAAACCTACTGATTAATCTGTACTTCACTGTCGTAATTCTCCATAGGAGTTGGTTTCTCTCATGCACCCACACACAGCCCTCTGTTTCTGAAGTATCTAGACAAGTGCTATTTAACAGAACTGTCTGCCATGATGGAAATGTTCTCTATCTGCACAGCTCAAAACATTAGCCATTAGCCACAAGGTATGGTCTCCAAGCACTTGATATGTGGCTGAGGCACTGAAATTTTAATTTAATTCATATGTAAACAGCTACCATATTTGACAGTGCAAACCTACAATATGACTCATTAGCTACGACTTTGGGCAAATGTCCTACTTCCTTCCTCCTATCTCACAGGTTATTGCGGTAACCCACCTAAATGTTTGGAATGGTAGCTGGCATATGCAAGTGTCCTGTAAATGTTATCTATGAGGATCACCTGGGGAGCCTGTTAAAAATGCAGATTCCCCAGAGTTCTGTTCTGTCAGTTTAGGGTGGGGCCTGGGTATCTGCATCAAAAGCATCCGGGTGATTCTAGAGCAGGTGGACTGTAGACCTCTGCCTTGCGCTTTGCCCCCAAAGCCTTTGGTTCTATTAATACTTCCTGTCCTAGGAATACTTTACTCACACTGACCATCCCACCTTCCAGCTCAAGGCTCAGCTGAGCTGTCCCCTACTTTCCTGCCATTCTTAAACAAGTTCTCTTCTCCCCACTGCTCCCTCCCAAATGTGACTTTGGGGTCGCTCCTGTGGATCTCGCAGTACCCCAAACATATTTCTGTACGATAACTTATCACAGTGTTATGTTACTGGTGTCTCCAACTGTGCTGTACCGTATTACTCATCTTTACCTGGCACACAGTAGATACTCAACCATTAAAATTCATGCTAGCTAACCTCCGTGGGCCATTAATCCTGGTTAGTAATATTTTAATCGATGTCTTTTGGCTCCTTCCCTCTCCATTCCCCACAGGGCTACACTCAATTCCTCCCGTTCTCTTTGTTCGCACCACATCCGTCTCCCTCACCCATAAAAATGACTGTGACTTTGACTTCACTAAGAAGGTTCGGCCCAAATACAACTCGATATAACCTGAGTGCCTTTCACTTCTCAGCTCCTCATTCCCTCAGCTTCCCAGGATGAAGAGGGCCTCCTCCTTTCCATAGCAAACGTCCCTGCCTCCCCTAGGGCCCTGTAGCATCGGTGAAGCTTTCATTGCTTCACTCAGTCCTCTGCTGGCTCACTGGTTCCTATAAACATCCCACAAACAAAGCAAAACAGGATAACAACATATGTTTACTCATCACAGGCCTCTCTTTCACACTTTTCAAAATAGCAATATACACGGCCCACTTACTCACAACTCCATTTCACCTTGCAACCTTATTGCCTTTTCTATGCTGAAACCGACTTTCCCACAATGCCTTTGCTCAATCTTCAACCATCCTGCCTAGCTTTCCTGCAATGCACAGTAGGATAGTCTGCCGACCCCCATCCTGAAATTCCTCCTACTTCGCAAGTTTTCTGGTTCTTACCCTGCATCCCCGACCTGTTCCACCCCTATGCTGTACCTCCTCCCCCTCTGCCCTGCGAACGTCTATGTTCCTTAAGATGCAGCACCTTAGTTTTCTCTTCTTCTGCTTGACATCACTTTTATTCTTGGCTTTTACCTGTTCTAAACAGACAACTCCTACTATTAATAAATTTGAAGCTTTAGCTTCAGCCACCAGTTTCAAATCTCCACCTCTGCTAAACATCTTTAATGGCATGCTTCCTGAACTTAGAATCTCTGAACCTCATTCCCCATCAACTCACCCCTCAAACCTATATCTTGTTCCAATTCCCCCATCTTTATGGAAAGTTTAGTTTCTGATATGTAGAGTCTGGGGTATTGGCATGACTCCTGGTTTGAGATTGGGGTGGGATTCAGAGAAAACTGGGACTAGGAATGATGTCACCTACAAAGAGCAACACCGAAGCACTAGGATGGGTAATATTGCCCCCAAAAAGAATACAAAAAGAGGCATTATGATAGGTGGTAGGCATTGTTCCCAGTGCCGAATCCTCAAGGCTACTGCACAGCCAAATGAGTAAGTAACCAGTTAACCCCCCCTGCCCCACTGGTTGCCTGAAAAAGCTTCTAGGGTTTTTATTATTATTGGCTATCATTTACTGACTACAGATCTGTGCTAAGCATATTATACCCATTAATTCAAACAATTCTACAAGAACCCAATTATCACCATTTATAAGAGAAGAAATAGAGAAATGGGGAGTTTAAATAATTTGACCAAGACCATAAAACTGTTACATGCCAAAGGCAGGATTTGAATCCTGGGTCCTAAACCCTGGAGTCCACGCTCTTATGCTATGCTATCTCCCATGGAGAAAAAAGTTATAAAAAAAACCACAAAACCCATTTCCACAGACTTAAATGTTAAAATGCAGCAAATATTCTAAATCTAAATTAGACATTTTCTAGCTCTATAAAAATGATAAAGGAAAAAATTCTTTGGAATGATCCCCAGAGTTATGATGATATACAGTTATGAGCTGTTTCACAATTTGCTTTTACTATAAAAATTATACCTATTCCAAATTATTTTGTACAGTTCTCTAAATTAATTCATGATGCCAACCCTGTACCCCCCTCCATAAGGTTATAAAAAGTTTTGGAAAAAGAATTTGTATCTTATATTTCTTATGTGTCCTATAAATAACAACTATAAATAATAATGTATTCTGTACCTGATAATAGTAATAATGACAAATATGTATGTATCCTATATGCCAGGTCTTACTTAATCTCTTCATATTTATTAACTCATTTAATCCCCATAATAAATGTAAAATAGATAATACTATTATCCACATTTTAGAGATGAGAACAATGAGGAACCTGGTGGATTAAAGATGGCCCCAAATTCTTTGACATTCTTCCCATGGGGTGGTGGGGTCTAGGTCTCCTCCCCTTGAATCTTAGGCTCTGCCTTAATCAGCAGAACACGAAAGGCAGGCTATAAAGCCATGCTCATTGCTAGGCCCAGGCCTTAAGAGTTGACAGCTTCCACATCCCATCTTTTGGAACACCAGCTCTGGGAGGCTTGAGCCAACCGTAAGATGCCCAACTGGAGAGAGTACCCATGGAGAGGCTGAAGGACAAAGATGGGCCCAGCCCTCTAGCCACTCCTTCCCAGGGAAGCCATCCTGAACTCTCCAGGGTGGCCCCACCTCTAGCTGAATGCCATTGAGTGATCCCAGTGGACACCATGTGGAAGCAAAGAATTGCCCAGTTGATACTTACCTGAATTCCTGACCCACAAAATTGTGAGATAAAATAAAATAGTTTTTAAGCCACTCAGTTTAGGGGTGATTTGTCACATAACAATAGATAACCTGACCATGTACAGAGAGGCTAATTACACAGCTAATAAGTATGATAATAGGTAAGCAATAAGGGGCAGGGATTCAAACCTAGGGAATCTGACTCCATAGCTCACACTCACAACCACTACTCTGAATTATATGCAACAGATCAAAGGCCTCCCCGTGATCAGATAAGTTGCCTTTCCAGTCTGCCTATGCCTGATTGTCCAGGTAACTCCACAGACAGGTACTGCCTAACTCAGGAAACAAATACCAAGGAAAAGCTTAGACCAGTATGAATGAAGAGGTGCTTCTAAAGGGAACAAGAGCCAGGATGGAATTTTAACCTGTAGAGAAGGCACCTTGAGCAAAAAACTTTGTTTGGTGAGGGATTGTCCCAACTGATCAAATACCACTGGATAGAATTTGTGGTACTTTAGTGGGTTCATTAATAGATTACTACTCCAAGGGTCTACAGTTCATATACCTCAATACCAAGCTTGCCTTAAAAGATCCTAGGGAGTCTTTGCCCACCATACTTTTCAAATGGCTTATTCCCAGCCCTTCACCCCCAATGACAAAAGCACTTCAAGCAAACAAATCTGGAGTCTTGTGTTAGCTTTATACTGACTCTATCATGCTAGGAAGGCCAATTCAGTTAAACAGATATTGTGTGCTTAATATGTGCAATATATTGCTGCGAGGATGGAATGCTGATAAAATGAACACCACATGTTCCCTGCCCTCCAAAGGCTCTGTGTCTCAGTTTGCCATCATTCACTTAACTTTAATGCCAGGCACTGAGAACACAGTGAACAACTCAGATATGGCCAAACATGCCTTCATGAAGCATCAGTCTAGTGAGAAAAAACATGTACAGCACTGTACCAGAGTTATTCAATAGAGGAAGTAGAAATTAATTTGGAGAGGAGGTAAGGGGAAAACTTCCTGGAACAAGAGACAACTGTGCTAAAACCTGAAAGATAAGTTTGCCAGACACAGAATGAAGACAGGGCTCACCCACTCTTCATTTCAGGGGGAGTTTGAGTTTTGAGGGGGAGCAAATGAAAAAAAACAAAACAAAACAAAAAACAACATAGGAGGGTATAAACTAGGCTGAGGTACATATACTTGCCTTGCACAAACAAACTAAACAGAACACCTTGAGCACCCTGGTTTTCAAACTCTTGACCATTCTCTCACTTCTCTTGGAAAATATTTCCCTGCTTGTCCAGTCTAGCAAATTCCTTCTGAATTGTATTATGGGCTTAATTGTATTCCCCCAGTACCTCAGATTGTGACTGTATTTAGAAATCAGGCCTTTAAAGAGGTAGTCAAAATGAGGCCATTAGGGTGGGCCCCAATCCAACCTGACTGATGAGGAAGTTTGGAAACAAAGAGAGACACTGGGGATGGGAGAGCACAGGGGAAAGACCATGTGAGGACACACCAAGAAGGTGGCCAGTGGCAATCTGCGAGCCAAGCAGAGAGGCCTCAGAAGACACCAAACCTGAGGACACCTGGATCTCAGATTTCTAACCTCCGGAACTGTGAGAAAATAGATTTCTGTCGTTTAAACCACCCTGTATTTTGCTATGGCAGCCCTAGCAAAATGATATACCTTCTACTTCAGACCCAACAATGCTCACTTCCAGAGTGAAACCTTCCTTATCACCCACATACCCCCATCCTAGGGTTATTGTTACAACACTCTCTATATCCCATTCCACTTTTGTGTACTCATTTAGGCAACAAACACTTAGTGTCCACCACCTGTATGCCAAACCTTGTCTTAATGGCTGAGAACAGCTAACGTTTACTGAGCACTTATTAAGAGGCAGACATTGTGCTGAGCGCTTTACGTGCACGAATTCATGAAATCCTACAAGGTCGTGGCGAAGTAGGTCCTGCCATTATACCCGTTTTACAGGTGCGGGGCTAAGGCACAGAGAGGTCGTACCGTAATGGGACCTAACTAGGCTATGCGCTCTGTAGTCTTAAGCGCTACTCTCAACTACTGTGTGACAGAGGGAAACAGGAGCTAGGAGATGGGCATCCCAGGGCGGGAGAGGAGCAGGTGGGCTTCCCGTGGGCAAAGCCTGGAGATGACAGGAGGACAGGCGAGGACGCGGGTGGCCTTTCCAGGCCGAGGGAGCTGCACGGGGGAGAAGGCCCAGCTCCCAGGCCCAGGACCTGGCCTTTTGTGTCTCACTCAGCGTCCCCGCCGCTGTCGGGAGCAGAGGAGATGCTCGCTGACTCGCACAGGGGCCGCCAACTCTCCGTTTACCTCGCAGAACCCCTCCAAGATGCGGAGGTGGCGGCGGGTCCACGCCCCGCCGGGCCACCCTCGATCACCCCGCTTCCTCCCTTCCGGGGCGCTCCCACCCGCGAGGGGCCCGCACACCCTCGCGAGGCTCGCCTTCCGGCCCGCCAGCCACCGTACCTTCGGAGGCCGCTCTCCGCTCCACCGCCTCCTCTCCCTCTGCAGCAGCCGGCCTCAGAGCCGCACGCCGGGCTCCGCCGGCAGCGGAACCATCCCGACAACGCCCCCTCGCTTGTTGGGACCGCCCTCCGGCTTCCGGTGGCGTCACTTCCGCGGGTGTGTGTGGGTGTGTGTGCGGCTGCGGCGCGCAGGCGTGCTAGGCGGCTCAGGAGTGAATTCTGCGCGGCGGAGCCCGGAAGGAGGTGGAGGCAGCGCTGGGCGGGCGGCGACGGCTCCACGTGCTCCCCGCGGGCCGGTTGAAACCGTTGGCGGGCCCTGGCTGAGAGGTGAGGAGCGCCGGCCCAGAGGGCCGACCCTAGGAGGTTGGAGCTCAAGAGTGTGGAGGCGGAGGGGCTGGCGCCTGGTTCCCTCCGGTGGTCCCTGCGGCTCACGCCGGGGAGGAGGGCATCCATTGCGGTCGTGTCCGCGCTCTGGGCAGTGGCACCCTGCTGGACGTAGGGTGACTATTTCGTCCCTGTTTTAAAATGAAAACCCCCGTCCCAGGATCCCCTCTCGGGCCTGGCCAGACCGGGACGGTTGGTCACCCTCGGACTGGCCTTCAGGCGTGCTGCATGATGGGAACGGGGCTCTTCTCGGAGTCTCGGGGCGCTCGGTCCCTAAGGAGGAGGCCTTGCGGCGTCCTGGTGGAGAGCACGGACTTGGGACCAGAATATAACTGCGTGTGAATCTGTTGCCACTAACTGGATGTGTGACTAGGTGCAAGTTACTTAGCCTCTTTGTGCCTCAGTTCCCACATCTGTTAAAAGAGAATAATGTAGAACCTTACTCGCAGGACCGATGAGGGTTGCATGAGTAGATACGTGTTAACCACCCTTGAGAGGGCTTGGTACATAGTAGGTGCTCAATAAATGTCAGCATTTTCTGCAGCACTTTTCTCTGAGGAGAGGGGGAGGGGTGTGAGACAGGGTGAGTATTTGCAAGCCTGACTTTCCTGCAGGGAAGGTCCTCTTGGGGCTTGTTCACACTTTGCTCCAGGGTCCCAGTGTTTAGCATAGTTCCTGACTCATGGTAGTTATTCCAGTGAAGGGTTGCTGTTTAAAACAAGGCCAGTGATGTAGTGGGTGGGGTGAGGGAGACTGGAACTTAGAGGCAAGAGAAATGGCTTAACTTTTCTAAACCTCGGTTTGTTCATCTCTTTAGTGGAGTTAGGTGCACCTGCTTCCTAAGACTTTTGCATGGACCAAGGGAGAGGTCCACTGTGTGAATGCACATTGTAACTCTCGTCATCCCTACATTCAATAAAATAAATAATACAAGAATATAGAGGTAAGAAGATAAAAACAACAAAAAAACTACATATTCCAATCCCAGAACCAAACCTAAGGGTATATTATCAGGGAACAGGGTGATAGAGTAGTCACTCACGGGGTGAGGAGCCAGAGGAGTTCACAGTGAATTTATTAGGTTAGTGTAAAAGTAATTGCTGTTTCGGACCATGAATTTTAAATCATTGTAACTAGGCTCAAACACATCTTTGTCAATCAAAGTAGTAATCATTACAATTAAAACATGTTTTGCCAATGAGAAATGTTTGTTTATTCCTGTAGCAAAAAAATCCGTGCTTTGGGATTCCATGAACTCTTGGAAAGCATTTTCTGCATCCTGCTGGTTGTGGAAGAGTTTTTTTTTCCCTGCAAAAAGTTGTCGAGATGCTTGAAGAAGTGGTAGTCAGATGGCGAGGGGTCACGTGATGAATGTGGTGGATGAGGCAAAACTTCATAGCCCAATTCATTCAACTTTTGGAGCATTGGTTGTGTGACCTGCAGTCTGGGGTTGTTGTGGAAAAGAATTGGGCCCTTTCTGTTGACCAGTGTTGGCTGTAGGTGTTGCAGTTTTTCATGCATCTCATTATCGATTTGCTGAGCAGACTTTTCAGATGTAATGGTTTTGCCGGGATTCAGAAAGCCATAGTGGATCAGACCAACAGCAGACCACCAAACAGTGACCATGATCTTTTTGTGGTATAAGCTTGGCTTTGGGAAGCACTTTGGAGCTTCTTCTTGGTCCAACTGAGCTGGTCCTCGCTGGTTGTCATATAAAATCCACTTTTCATTGCATGTCACATTTCGATCCAGAAAATTCGTTGTCGTTGAGTATAAGGGAAGATGACACTTCAACATGATGACTTTTTTGATTTTTGGTCAGTTCATGAGGCACCCACTTATTGAGCTTTTTCATCTTTCCAATTTGCTTTAAATGCCAAATGACCATAGAATGGTTGACTTTGAGTTCTTCAGCAACTTCTGTAGTTGTAAGACGATCAGCTTCCATGATTGCTCTCAGTTGGTCGTTGTCAACTTCTGATGGCTGGCCTCTGCATTCCTCTGAAACAGATGGCTGTTTCAGTGTTCTTCAAGGCTCTCTTCATCTTCAAGGCTCTCATCTCCTTTGCAAAACTTCTTTTTTTTTTTTTGAGACAGAGTCTCGCTTTCTTGCCCAGGCTAGAGTGAGTGCCATGGCGTCAGCCTCCCGAGTAGCTGGGACTACAGGCACGAGCCACCATGCCCGGCTGATTTTATATTATATATATTAGTTGGCCAATTAATTTCTTTCTATTTTTATGGTAGAGACGGGGTCTCGCTCAGGCTGGTTTTGAACTCCTGACCTTGAGCAATCCGCCCGCCTCGGCCTCCCAGAGTGCTAGGATTACAGGCGTGAGCCACCGCGCCCGGCCTGCAAAACTTCTTGAACCGCCCACTGCACTGTATGTTCGTTAGCGGTTCCTGGGCCAAATGCATTGTTGATGTTGATTGTCTCCACTACTTTATGACCCATTTTGAACTGGAAAAAGAAAAACGCTCAAATTTTGCTTTTTTTACAATGTCATTTCCATAGTGTAAAATAAATGTAAAATAGATTGCAGGTGATAAATAATTAGCAAAAAAACATAAAGTGAGACATGCGCATTAAAATGATGTATAATGTAATCACATTTATTTCTTTATTTTTTGTGATTTTTTTTTTATTATTTCAGCATATTACGGGGGTACAAATGTTTCAGTTACATATATTGCCTTTGCCCCACCTGAGTCAGAGCTTCAAGCATGTCCATCCCCCAGATGGTGCGCACCACACTCATTTGGTGTAAATATATGCATCCTCTTCCCCCCCACCTGCCTGACACTTGATGAATATTACTACTATATGTGCACATAAGTATTGATCAGTTAATACCAATTTGTTGGTCAGTACATGTGGTGCTTGTTTTTCCATTCTTGTGAGACTTCACTTACTAGAATGGGCTCCAGTTCTATCCAGTATAATACAAGAGGTGCTAGATTGCCATTGGTTTTTGTGGTTGAGTAGAACTCCACATATACCACCTTTTATTAATCCACTCACGTATTGGTGGGCATTTGGGTTGTTTCTACATCTTTGTAATTGTGAATTGTGCTGCTATAAACATTCAAGTGCAGATGTCTTTTTTATAGAATGACTTTTGTTCTTTTGGGTAGATGCCCAGTAATGGGATTGCTGGATTAAATGGTAGTTCTACTTGTAGCTCTTTCAAGTATCTCCATATTACTTTCCACAGAGGTTGAACTAGTTTGCAGTCCCACCAGCAGTGTATGAGTGTTCCTGCCTCTCTGCATCCACGCCAACATTTATTGTTTTGGGACTTTTTGATAAAAGCCATTCTCACTGGAGTTAAGTGATATCTCATTGTGGTTTTGATTTGCATTTCCCTGATGATTAGAGATGTTGAGCATTTTTTTATATGTTTGTTGGCCATTAAGTCTGTCTTCTGAAAAGTTTCTGTTCATGTCGTTTGCCCACTTTTTAATGCGGTTGATTTTTTTCTTGCTGAGTTCTATATAGATTCTAGTTATCAGCTCTTTATCAGATGTGTAGCATGTGAATATTTTCTCCCATTTTGTAGGTTGTCTATTTGCTCTAGTGATAGTTCCTTGGCTGTGCAGAAGCTTTTTAATTTGATCAGGTCCCATTTATTTATTTTTGTTGTTGCCATGATTGCCTTTGGGGTCTTTTTAAATTCTTGCCCTAAGCCAATGTCTGTAAGAGTTTTTCCAGTATTTTCTAGAATTCTTATAGTTTTATGCCTTAGGTTTAAGTCTGTATCCACCATGAGTTGATTTTTGTGAGAGGTGCAGATGACTGTAATACTAATAAATTAATATTTATTTAGTATTTAGAATGTATTTCAATATCAAACAGCAAATTTCAACAATGCTAAAACTGCAGTTCCTTTTGCACAAACTTAATATGAAGATACATGTGTGGGTTAAGGATCATATTTAAAGGAGCATGACTTTGGGAGGGGACTGGGTAGAGCATTGATGTGCAAATTAATAGCTCACTGGGAAACCTTTCTATTGTTGGGAAAGGATAAAGCTTTCACATCTTGGTATCTTATTTAACTTTTCATACAATGCTTTGAGGTAGATATTAGACCCATTTTACAGATAAACAGATGCTGGGAAGTTAAGGTGTCCTGAGGTTATTTAGTTTTTAATGATCTTTGTGCCATTAGCAGATGCAGGATCCAGCTCAGATCCTTTACCGCTGAGTCCAGGTCCAGTCCAACAAAACCTGGCGACTGGCCGGGCGTGGTGGCTCACGCCTGTAATCCTAGCTCTCTGGGAGGCCGAGACGGGCGGATTGCTCAAGGTCAGGAGTTCGAAACCAGCCTGAGCAAGAGTGAGACCTCGTCTCTACTATAAATAGAAAGAAATTAATTGGCCAACTAATATATATAGAAAAAAAAATTAGCCGGGCATGGTGGCACATGCCTGTAGTCCCAGCTACTCGGGAGGCTGAGGCAGGAGGATCGCTTGAGCCCAGGAGTTTGAGGTTGCTGTGAGCTAGGCTGACGCCACGGCACTCACTCTAGCCTGGGCAACAAGTGAGACTCTGTCTCAAAAAAAAAAAAAAAACCTGGCGACTGTCTTGTAAAGGGAAGACTAAGGTGTCTGGCCCCTTACTGACCACTGGTTGCTGCCCAGCACCTGACAGCCTTCCCTGTGACATGGGTGGTCTTGCCCAGTATGGGCTGGCTTTAGAATTAAGACTTAGGGTTCTATGGAAGGTCATCTTTTAGAGCCTTTACTTTTTTTCCTCTTTGGATA